ACTCACCAAAACAAGAATGCACATAATTGCGGACAAGGAAACCAATATCTGAAAGTTTGCATCATAAAAACTGATAATCTTCTGGTAGCCAATTTTCAATATTCACCTGGACCTTTCTCCTTTTCCATTGGGCGAAAAATACTAGAGTAACAATTAATACAGATGGAAGAAATATGGAGAGTAACGCTGAGTTCCATTCAGCAGAAAATTTTAAATGCAGAGAGGAGGAAGGGAAAAGAGCTAAAAATGAAATTTTTTGAAAAATAATATTAACAGTACGCTTTGTTTGCAACTGACCAAGCTCGGATGCTACTTGCATCGTCTGCTCCTCTGGTCTCAGATCTCGCAATTTACTCACTACCAAGACTTCATCTAAACATGCCATTACGAAAAGGGTTTATGAATGCAAGTGCTCTGACCTCCTGCGTTTTCTATTTGTAATTCACAATCAAATGTCTCAAAAGGATGTTTCCATTCGACCGTCGAACACGTGGCAAAATGCTTCACACTGAAAAATATGAGGTTGATAATATAAATAGAGTGAAGTTATGGAATCAGGTCGATTGAAGTTTGAAATAATGAAATAATGCTAACTCCCAACTGCTACCACAAAACCATTAGAAAGGAGAGAAAATAAGTTGACACTAGTAACTAGAACTTCAATTATAACAAAAAAAAATCAAATTTGCTTGTAAATGCCATCGCGCCTTTGCATATCGATGTTTTGACGATTTTGCAGTGGAGAATTGACTGCAAATTTACTTTCTCAAAAAAAGCTTTAAATAAAAACTTCTTTCTTTTCTATTTTCTGATCCTTTGGGAATCCTCTCCCTTCTCAGAAAAAGCAGAAGAAAAAGGAAAAAGATAAATAATTGGTAATCGAAACTAGTTTTATAGTTTTTAAAGTGATATTAAGCCAAAAAATGCATTCGTTCCTGCCCATATTGATCCTATTTGGGCAATTTTTTCTTCCGAGAAAATCCGTCAGAAGTCACATGAGATATCACATTTTCAAAGCCGATTTATCTTGAACTAGTGATATGATCAGAGAAGGGAAAGATCTGGTGTTAATTTACAGAATAACTCAATAAGCAGAAGTTCCTACCGATGATAAAGTGAAATCACTCCTGTTGCAG